CCCCCCCCCCCCCCCCCCCCCTCCATTACAGACAGCCCACCATTACAGACCTCAGCAACTGCACACAAAAAACTTAAGCTTTACTTAACAATAGAAAAAAGCTTGAACGGTTTGAAGAATATGAATTTGACTGCTATACAATATTATAATGTTTTCATAATTATTTGAAAAAACTAACATGCACTTAACAAAATTCTTAATAGTATAATCGTCGGCTTTTTTAAGAATTTAAACTTGTATGCTAAAAATCAACGATGAATAGTGATAATAGGTATTAATCTGTCGTACCGATGATATAATCAATACAGGAAACATGATTCGATCTTTTTATTAGTGTCAGAAGGAAACAATATCGTTATTGATAAATTAATTGATATGTATAAAAGTATTGTAAGAATGGCTAATGCATATTAAGTGCATTATTGTGAGACTCGTATTTATGAAGTAGTTGATGATGAAAAAATTTTAAATAAAAAAAAAAAAAGATGATTATTATCGAGTATATATCAACACTAATAAAAAAAATCGGGCGCGCTCAAACGAAAAAGATAGTCGCAGTTTTAAATGTACAAATAAATAATAAAATATTGTTTATGTCAGTGATGAGTTATAAGAATCATTTTAATCAACAGAAATCTTTCAGTTTACAGATGACATATTAGGATAACAAGTCTAAAGGATATACGTGAGTTCCACATTTCAGCTCCTTTGGAGCTGCGCTAACAAGTTTTCTTTCCTATTACCGGGTGTTGCAAAATTTTTGCGACATTTTCTATTTTGCAAATATCTCGGCTTGAGAAAATGATAAAACCTTGATTTTTTTGGAAAAGATGTGCTATGAAAACCTCTACAAAAACTGTATAAAGAGATTCCTATTCACTTGCTCTGATGGTTTTCCCATGCTCAATATGAACAACCTACATGATAGTGCTACTTCCCAGCGTATTGAGCATAACAAAAATGTTTGGAAGACGTTTTTGTGTACTCAAAAAGTGAGTACACTCTAGAATCGGTCAGTGTGTCCGGCCGTCCGTCCGGCCGTCCGTTAACACGATAACTTTTGAAAGGAGAGTCCGATCGCGATGAAATTTTCTACACTGTTCAGTCTTAACAATATCTCGGTCGAGTTCGAAGATGAGAATGATTGGCCGAACCATTGCTGAGTTATTGCAAAAATAGTCATTTTTCCCTATGAGAAGATAGACCCTTCTCTGCTTTCATAAAAAACTTTTCCTATCATAGTCATATAAAACCCCCACTATTATATACCATTCGATAGAGAATTTCACGAGCTACAAAATGGTATATAAAACATAAAGAAACAAGAAAGCTAACTCGCCTATTGCAAAGATAATTAATCGGAATTTGGTTCTGTTTTTGCCCACGCTCTATGTGATCCACAATTAGAGTTCTATCTTCCCATCACAGAGATGATAGTTCGAGGTTTTCTAGAATGGAGAACTCGAATCTATGTTCCATTCGCCTCGAAATCTCATTGGTTGAGCAGTGACCAATAGAAATCAAGTTATAGGGAAAACGACTTTCTTAGGGTAAGTCAAGGCGAAGAGTTCAAATCTGAGCTCTATTCATCTGTAAATCCTAGTGGTTGAGCAGTAGCCAATAGAAATCAACTGTTTTTAGAAAAGGTTTGCCAGGATAATTTTTATGCCCACACATTCTAGGATGACTAATCAGTCTCATACACTTTTTTGTGTACTCAAAAAGTTAGTACACTCTAAAATCGGTCAGTGTGTCCGGCCGTTTACACGATAATCCTTGAAAAATATCATCGGATTGTGATGAAATTTGCACATAGAATTGTCTCATCAATATCTCGGTCGAGTTCGAAGATGAGGATGATTGGTCAAGAAATGGCTGAGTTATAGCAAAAAAGTCATTATTTCCTACGTTTTTTCCTATACCAATATTGACCTATTCCGAGGGGGGGGGGGGCGTGTTTAAGTACCTTTACGTCTTTAAGTCTTATATTAGGGAGGCATCGTTATGTCCTCAAGTCCTGTATTGTAGGGGTGCCTTTAGATACTCAAGTCCTATACTATAAGGGTACCCTTAGGTCCTCAAGTCCTATATTAAGGACGTATCGTTACGTCCTCAAGTCCTATATTATCAGGGCACTATTGGGTCCTCAAGTCCTATATTATAAGGGTACTCTTAGGTCCTCAAGTCCTATACTGTGAGGGTGCCCTTAGGTCCTCAAGTCCTATGTTAAGGAGATATCGTTACGTCCTCAAGTCCTATATTATTAGGGTACCCTTAGGTTCTGAAGTCCTCTATTACGAGGATTCAATTATCTTCACTTTTTGTGTACTCAAAAAGTGAGTACACTCTAGAATCGGTCAGTATGTCCGGCCGGCCGGCCGTCCGTTTACACGATAACTTTTGAAAGGAGAGTCAGATCGCGATGAAATTTTCTACACAGTTCAGTCTTAACAATATCTCGGTCGAGTTCGAAGATGAGAAGGATTGGCCGAGCCCTTCCTGTGTTACTGCAAAAATACTCATTTTTCCCTATACATTCCCTATGGAAAGATCGACCCATTCCCGCTTTCGTAAACAACTTTTCCTATCATAGTCAACTAAAACCCCAACTATTATATACCATTCGATAGAGAATTTCAAGAGCTACAAAATGGTATATAAAACATAAAGAAACAAGAAGGCTAACTCACCTATCACAAAGATAATTAAAGAGAACTAGGTTATTTTTTTGTCCACGATCTAATTGATCCACGTTTAGAGCTCTATCTTCCGATCACAGTGATGATACTTCCAGGTTTTCTGAGATGGAGAACTCGAATCTGTATTCCACTTCCATTGAAATACTATTGGTTGAGCAGTGACCAATAGAAATCAAGTTATAGGAAAAACGACTTTCTTAGGGTAAATCAAGGAGAAGACTTCAAATTTGAGCTGTATTCGGTCCCAAGTCCTACTGGTTTGGCAATACCCAATAGAAATTAACAGTTTAAAGGGTAGGTTCCCCAGTATAATTTTGATGTCCACACATTCTAGGATGGCTGATTCGTGTGATTCCCTTTTTGAAGTACACATAACTCTCGGATTTAAATCCGAAGTTTCCGCATTTATTTGTTTTGGAATAGGGATTTGTTCATACAGCTTGTGTAGAGCTTTCTACAGTGCATCTTTCAAAAGAAAAATCAAGATGTTATCGTTTTCTCGATCCGAGATATATGCAAAACAAAAAAAGTCTTCCAAACATTTTTATTATGCTGAAAAGTAGCACTATCATGTAGGTTGTTCATTTTGAATTTAGGAAAAATCATCAGAACAAGTCAATAGGGGATTTGTTTACACAGGTTTTGTAGAGCTTTTCACGGCGTATCTTTCCAAAACAAAATCAAGATTTTATCATTTTCTCAAGTAGGGATATATGCGAAATAAAAAATGTCGCAAACATTTTAGAGCACCCCGTAACAACATCACGCAGATATTCACTCTAAAAAAATCATCAAAACAAGTCAATAGGGATCTTCTTCATACAGCTTGTGTAGAGCTTTCGACAGCGCATCTTTCAAAAAAAAGTCAAGATGTTATCATTTTCTCAATCCGAGACATATGCAAAACAAAAAAAGTCTTTCAAACATTTTTATTACGCTGGGAAGCAGCACTATCATGTAGGTTGTTCATATTGAGTGTGGGAAAACCATCAGAACAAGTGAATAGGGGTCTCTTTATACAGTTTTTGTAGAGCTTTTCACGGTGCACCTTTTCAAAACAAAATCAAGACTTTATCATTTTCTCAAGTCGAGATATATACAAAATAAAAAATGTCGCAAAACTTTTGCAACACCCGGTATTAGAGTACTGGATCGATGATTAAACTATCTTAAAATAAACAAAGAACGAAAAATTGGAAAATTGAAACAAGGACATTCTGGGTGTGGATGTGGAAGTGTGAGCGTGTGGTGATTACGTTTTCTGCTCACATCCACAGCCACACCCAAATATGTCCCACTTTTGAAACGGACGAGACAAACACCTTTATTGTAAATCATCTTCTGCTAATAAGAAAGAATAATAACTCTAGTATCGCTAAAATAATAAAAACAAAGCAAATCGTAATAAGAAGTAATAAAATATAAAAATCAGAATCGTTATTACGAATTACCGATTAATAGTAATAGGAAGTAACAATAATGTGTCAGTTCTAATAAAAAAACGATTAGCATCTATGAATCGAAAGTGGTAATTTGATTGTCATAAAAGAATTGAATGTGTTTTTCATTGTTCAATAATCGGCGAGGTTTATTTTGAACAGGACTTACTCGATCGGTCGCTAATACTCTGTTGAAGAATTCAGCGAATGTTCCACTTCGAACAATAATACATAAAAGCGAGCCAAGTTTTCCTAAACTACGATATTGTTTATAATAATCATTCGTTATGTGAAGTTGTTGATCAACTTCCAAACTAACGTTATTCTGTAGCATTCGAAGTTGTTGATCATCAATTTTGTTTCCTTGTACGTCCATCAGTTCTAAAAATATAATATAATGAGCTGGAGAGACATCAACTTTTGTATATGAAGTAAAATCACAAATATCAACATGTATTCCTTGTTCTTTCCATCGATTAACTACTAATTTAATAGCATTCATAATATGTTGTTCACATGTTTTCTCTCCATATATATCTAAAAGATTTCCAGTACGGTATGCGATTGAAATGAGAGGGATTCGAGGAATCTCTTCTGGTTCAGATGGTAATGGAATTAAATCATCTGCCCGATTAAGGAATCTTGTACAATTTATTACATCCCCCATGCGATATCGAATAAGCCCTGCTTCATTTGTACAAACTAATTCATATCGATTTCCTGGTTTGATCTCTGATATAAGAAGAGTCTTTGGTTGACTCTGAAATTGATAGAAAAATAAATATGATCAAAGATAACGAAAAATGTTTATTTATTCAATTATGACTGTATTACTTCAAAAACACTATACCTGATCAATATCTTCTTCTTTGATAAATTCGAAAAATACACATGTTGGCAATAGGAAGTATTCATCCGTATGAATACTTGCAGATATTCCGAAGAATCCTTCACTTGCCGCATAGCGAATATGGTTAATTAAAGGTAATTCTGTTCCACAATAAAATTGGATTTCTTTCTTGTATATAGCAAATGTACTTCCTATCGCAGTTGATGCATAAATCAAAGTTGGCCAAAGACGATGTAGAATACCAGGAACATTTTTCTTGAGGCATTCTTTTCGAATATGATTTCCTCGTTCTAACTGGTATGTCATTCCTCCATATTTCATATTGATTTCGTTCAATGCTCGATCCAAATCAGTTTTAAGTGTAGCATCATGAATATGGTTTTGGACGAGAGAACTATGTTCGAAGTTGGCAGAAGAGATGCAATGACTGATTTCTTCAAAATAATTCTCAATGATCTTAATAGAGTGGATAAATGCTAGAGGAAATATTACCGAATACGAATATATATTAGGAATTGCTAATGCAAAAACAAGTTGAACAAATATTTTTGTCTCGAACTCAACAATTCTTTCGATGAGATCTAGTGTTATAACATTTATAGCAGATATTGCCGTTTTGATTTCAGCATTCAATATTAAGGCTGACATAACGTAAGAAAGTGGACCAATTAATGCACCGTCCTTCGATCTTTCAAACATCTCCACTTTTTTTCCAGCTTGTAATTGGAACTGCTTTTGTTCAGAAGAGGGAAATGATGAAGAAGGGAATGATCTCCAAATAGCAGAATATCCAATACGTACTAATGTCGAGTATTCTTTCAATATAGACGCAATGACAGGAATAAGTTTAGTTTTCGCTGTAGTTCCAGAAGTTGTAGCATAATAAACAATATCATTAGAAGTAAGCAGTCCTTTTTCTCCATTGTGAACCATTCGATTAATATAGTTATCATAATCTTTATATGTTGTCAACGGAATTTTCTCACGAAATTCATTGATTAATGCATAGCTTTCATCATCAGAAACAGAAGAAGAAAAACGATGGATATTGGAGAATGAAATGGATTGATCCATAATGAAAGCACATGAGTAATTCTTTTCAAGAATCTTTTGCAATTTCTCATTATTAATCTTCTGCATATTACAAAGTACATTTCGATAATATGATGCAAATGAACCTGAGTCTGATGCTTCAAAAGTTGGATCCATGAATCAGTTAGGATTTAGAATTTGAAAGTATTTCTTGGAAATAACTTCAGATACGATGAAGAATTGAAGATAAGGACGGTGGCGATAACAGGACTGTTGGATAGTATTGAAGAAAAGGAAATTGTTCAGTTCTACTGCAAAATGGTAGTTTGTATAGTTTCGAATATGGAATTAATATTTCTACAAAAAGAAAAAAAAAATATTTTGTATAGCTTAAATCTAGTTGGACTAGTCATTTACTTATGACTATGTTATAGTTTGTACATAAAAGCAAAATAAAATATCATCTTCTTCTCGAATTCGTTTAACCTTGAATTATTTCTTTAAGACTTATCTACTATGTTGCTACTTTTCGTTTCTTCGATACTAATCCCATTTATCCCCAGATCCTCCAATAAACGTGACCCTCAAATTTAATACAGATTATATCTGATAAAAAATATCCTAATTACCACAAGACCCGGCTTGACAAATGACGATAAAATTTCGTGTAAATTAAATCGGATAAAAGTTACACTCTTTATCTCCATACCTTTTGAGACAAGTGGCGGATCAATTTTATACGGATTATATCCCACAAAAACTATCTGCATTATACCCCGATCTTTCCGGAAATGTGACCATTAAATTTCTTGTAGATTATATCAGACAAGTAATGCTCGTCGCTTCGACTCGCTTAGCCCTCGACTAAACAAGATACAGTATTCAATTCTTCAGAGGCGTGTAGCAATAGGAGTTCACAAATATTATACGAAAACGCAGAGTACTTTTTGAAAATTCTACTAGAAATTTGAATACATTCTAGAACATTCGTCGATAATACTATTTACTATAGAGTTTTCTAAGAAAGTAGAAGCTCAATGGAACCCCTAGCTTAAAATATATCATATGATATCTGATCTCTAATCGAAATATCACACATACAACAAGCTCTTATTCAAAGTGGTGATAAAACTAGACAAGCAATTTGAATATATCAACATACATTCAGAAACTTGAATAAATACTAAGAAAAACATATACTAAAAGAAACACTCTTTTGTTTCATTCATGTCCACTACCGATACAGCTCATATAAATTCTTTCAGTAATGTTTCTGTTGTGACGAACTATTCAGTCATTGTGTCCAAACATAAAAACCGTTTCTCATCCTTGACTTCACATAGTTTTTTCAGCTTTTTGCGTCTGACATTCCTTATTTAGACCCATTTCACCACTACTGTTGGCGTTTATCAAATAAGTCCCAAAACTTCGAAGCGACACTTTTGGAGATAACTCGGTGCAGCAGCTATTCGCTCGTCAACGCCCTTCTGGGACGCCACTCGCGGCGGTGTGGGTGTGGATATAGTAATTTACCAATAGATACAGAAAAGTCCCATAATTACGTGTGACTTTGCTTGGGCTTCTGCGAGAAAGTTTACAATGAGAATGAGAGAATATCACCATTGTGTTCAGCATGAAAAGTTACCTAGACTTTACAGACAAAATAAAAAATGAGTGTTAAAATTTAGGGTTAATCCGTGAGTTACACGGATTCAGCATTTGGCTACAAAGATGGTTCCCATAACCGGCCAGTTCTAGAGATCCCACGCTGATGTATGTATGGAGTTGCAGCTCATGAAGAGTTCTTTCAAACGATAAGGTCCAGCCCCCGAGGCAACTCATATCTTGGCAGATAATCCGCCCTGAAAACCGACATTTTTGTCAAAATTCCATTGTTGGAAGACCTGTTCCAACCGAATGGGTGAATGAAATTGGCTGAATTTTTTAGCACACATAGATCTTTGAGTGTTCTATTCATTGTAAAAATTTTAGACCTCTATCTTATTCCTATCAAAAGTTATGAAGAGCTAAAGTTACCAAAAAAAAATCCCTTTTCAGTAGTTTTGATGGCTCATAAAAGTCGAACAGCCTCATATTTCGGGACAAAAATTTTATCACAAGTACGACTCACTGAGTTGTGACCACATACACAATTTGGGCGCAATACATAGAATTGTTATTGAGATATGGCGACATTTCGACCCCTCCCCCTTGATAAAAGTGGCACTTTTTTGCGCTTTTCGTAAAACCTTGATAAAAAATGACCGGTTCAATATTTTCTCAAAAATCTTTCACAGAAATTCTTGTAACTCTTGTCTCTATAACATATCATAAAATGAGCCAAATCTGAGGACCTCGATTGAGCAGGTTCGGTCGTAGCTTACGTGGACTGGCTCATATATCCCTACGGCCATAGCACTGCACATTTTCGCCCTGAACTTAAGGTCCGAAACCGCACTTGCTATATCATGCCGCAGACAGATGCTCATACTCTCCACCAAAACTATCCACACTTGAGTGGCCAACCTGTAACTGTCACCGTCGATCAGCACTGGAGCGCCCGGGCCTCGACTACCGAAATTCATCAAGACTTCGGCGGCCTGAAAGCGACCAGTGAATTTCACTCACAATTGGGTGACTGGTCTGCGACTAATAAAATCCACTCTCGTTTGGGCTCTCTGCTTCTAAGAACTCTTACCCATCCACACTAGGGTCTACTAACCTATGAGCACCTATCTATACATCCGCAGACGGGCCATTATCAAAATCCACATCAACTCTCTAATATGGTAGAAGTCGAAGCTTAGAAAAACTGACCGGTCGAAAGCTCGAGGTGAAAAACCCCTGGTTGGCTGATTCGTCATGCTGAAAATATAAGTTTGTGATACCATAATTTTTTGACCCCGTACAGACAAACAAATCCATAAACTATTTTAAATTTTTTCGTATGACCATCTCTTCAGTCGAGGAAACAACTTTCCAATAAAGCCTAAGTTATTCTCCAGGTAGTCTCGTGTATGCAATAGGTTTTGAAAGTGAGTGCGAGTATGAAAATGTATTACTTCACAAGAAATCTTCATGTCAAATCACACCGGTACCCTCTACGTACACCCTAATGGGAAATTAAAATGGTACGCACATCATTCGCCAGATGGTGTAAATACATTGTGTCATTCTAGTAATTTACTCTTAATCATTTCTTCAGCAATGACTACGTGTATCAATATCAAACAACAACTTACTTGTGAATGAAGTAGCACAAGTTGTACAAATAGCTGTCTCAGAAGTATCGTTTGATTTCTGAAGTTATTAAATTAAATGAATATGTTTCAAGTACTTGATAGTAATGATGTACTATCTGATATAAGGTAAATATCTGAAATAGAAAGTGCATATCAACAGATTGATGTAGAGTCTTTAACTAGACAAGAGTAAAATGAAAACTAGATACAAAATATCACAGATGAGATGAAAACCTGAGTGTGGATGTACCTGTAGTCTTCCCGTTCCATATCCACACCCCACACCCAAACGAGGCAGAAACAGTAACCGGACGCAAGAATGCATTCCAAGCACAGGAATCGACAAGAAATGTCCAAAACTGGTAGCTGGAACCGACTATGGGATACTGCTTTTAGGAAATCATCGGAGATTCACAGAATACAGACGTTTCCTGCCGTACGCTTTTGATCTAGAAGCCATACCATGTGAAAATTGGGAGACTATTTATCAGATTATTGAATGCTATTCATCCTAATTGGTACTGTAGCAATTACGACTAATATAGGTGATTCCTCATACTGATTTTGAGCTTTCATGGTTTATGATCCTGGATCGCTATCAGATACTCAAGGGCTTTTCTAAGGTGGCACCACTGAATCATTAGGTTCGTTATATACACGAATCCTTATGTCTTCAACAGCTTTTATTATTAGGATATCTGTCAGTCTTCAAAATATGTTTTTATCAGACACTAGTACAGAAAGCGATAGGTTTTATCGATCTAAACCTCTGCTTACTGGTAAAATCTACTCTAGTGTAGTCTTTGACAGAACGATGGATGTTAATATTTATCTTTGTTGTCTTGAGAAGTTCACATGAACTAAGTTATTTATCACGGCTAAAGTAGAATAGCTATATACCGGGTGTCCCAAAATGTTTGCACACTTTTTATTTTGCATGTATCTTAGCATATATAAATGACAAAAACCTTGATTTTTTTTTCAAAAGATGCGCCGTGAAAAGCTCAACAAAAATGATAATAACAAATTTCTAATAACATATGCCAA